ATTTAGAAAATGTTTGCCGTTTACCAGCATAGCCCGGTATTAAGACGGACCAAACGTAAGCGCCTTCAAAAGTGAGCTATCCAAGTGTGAATCGAGAATGACGTTGGCAGTCACACAATAACTCGTTCGCGTTTAAAGCTTTATGGTCATTGGCGATGTTCACCTCGCTTTATTCGCCTTGAAATCCTTATAAACTTTGTTGGAAATAAAAAGAATTGTTTTTTACGAAAGATCTCGTCTAAAAAGCCAAGTTTTCTTTAAAAAAATCTGACTGATTGACATGTTGAGTCTTTACAGTGTTGTCACACAATAACTCGTTCGCGTCTGTCTGTTAGAAGCTTTTATAGTCATTTGCGATGTTTATCTTGCTTTATTCGCAATGAGATCCTTGTAAACTTTGTTGGAAATAAAAAGGATTGTTTTTTACTGAAGATTTTGTCCAGAAAGCCAAGTTTTCAAAAAAAATTTGACCGATTGACATGATAAGACTTCAGAGTGTTGTTGTCGTCACACATTAAATCTCGTTCGCGTCTGAAGCTTTCTTAGTCATTGGCGATATTTACCTCGCTTTATTCGCCATGAGATCCTTATAAACTTTGTTGAAAGAAAAAAAATGTTTTTTCCCTAAAGATCTTTCACTTTTCTATATGTTTAACTTCTAATAAGTTGTACTGGATTGAAGACCACTCGCCGACGTTTCTACTCGATTTTATACGTCGGCGAGTTGAACCGTCGGCGACTTGACTAGATACCCTCCCTTGCTGTCTTTGCCTATAGGCAGATTATCTGGTGCCCATCTGAGTCATACCTTTATGAATTTCTTTCTTAACCAAAGATAAGGCACATGCCTGCTTTTTTTGTTTGTGTCCAATGTCCCATTTGCATCAATTTACTTCAAATTTGTGGCTTCACTTGTCAACTGCCACAGCATCCAACCTTTATTAGGTACAGAGGGCCCAAAATCAATTTCTTTTAAAAAACTATGAACTGTTTACAAGAGTCTTTGCAAATTTATTTGTTAGAATTCTTTTGTTCTTGCTGATAGGTGATTATTTTTAGAGAAGCATTCAAGTAGTCTACTACTAATAGCCAAGGCTATTAAGATCTTTGGTGCAATTCCAATTGGAGGAATAAATTTACTGTTACCTTCTGGAATGTGTTTTTTTCTGCAGCCATATGGCCTGTGAGGAGGATAGGGCAGAAATAGCTGTTACACTGGTTGAAAATGGGGCAACTCTTTCTATAGAAAATAAGGTAATGATCTCAGTACCCAGTGTATCTCGCAAATAAAATCTTCAATCTTCACTGAGAAAATTTGCCTGGTGGCTAAAGCTTTTATGCTCACCCAGTTGTTAGACCTTGTGTCCTTAAGTGTTACACAGAGAGGAAAAGTGAAGGTCAATATATCGCAGGATGCAAACCTGCTATGAAATAAGTAATGGTAATAAGACTGAGTGGAGTCCAATTTAGTCTAAAATCATACAAGTGATAACAAAATCAGGCGACCATGCCTTTGTTTATTATTATTATTATTACAGACTGAATTGAATGACATGAACTCTTATTACCAATTAATCATGAAAATTACAATTTTCCAGAACAGAACAGTTGCCAAGTTGGGAAAGAAAGGGAAAATTTCAATTTCTGTCTTCCAAGATATTGTCATTTTTCAATGGAAAAAATTCTCCATTTTGAAGAAAGCCCCAATTAAGGAGTCTGTACACTGTTTCTATGGTGATTGAAACCAAGGTTGTGATTGGTTCATTTAAACTATAACTTTGAATGTGACTGGCTGAATTAGACTACAACTTTGAGTGGGATTGGCTTATTGAACTGTCCGATAACAAACTGTCCGCCAACAACTTGACAAGTGAATTAGTGGAAAATAGGAGTTTTTTAAACCAAACATCATAACTTTTTATGATTAGTCAGGAAAACCTGCTCCAATGGTCGTTGAGAATTGAAAACTGGATTATTAAAACTTTTGGTAATGTTGGTGGTTGATGCTGAGTTTTATTTCGTAGATCATTTGTTCATAGCTCATCCCCTTTATCGTAATCTTTCAGATGAAAATGCCACCTGTGGAACTCGCTAACAAGGGACTTGCAAGACAACTAATTCGTTTGAATGACAGCTGACGTCTTCCCGCTCTGTTCGCTCTTTTAGAAGGTTTGGTTTTGATGCTGGGCCTCTCTTGTAGGATAATTCTGTCCACCAGTAGCGGATTGAAGGGTTGTTCAGAGTGCGTATTAATTTTTAGCTTTTAGCCAATGGAAATTACCTCGTCTGATGGTACTTTACAGCTGATATTAAAAGTGATATCTCAGCAGTGAATTTGGCACATTCCTAAAGAGCACAAGTGGTTCATTATACGCAACAAAAAGATCAATGTTTACAGAAGATGTCTTCCTAAAGAGGCCGAATCAGTTGTTGATGTCAAAATGCTAAAAGAACACTTGAGTCCTCTCAGTGCCAGTTTCACTTTGGATTTGGATCCCCTGCGTGGATCCTCCGTCTAAATCCGCTCTGTTTAAAACTCCGTCTAAATCCCGTGAGGATTTCAACTTTCGTCTATCTCCTTGCACTGAAGGCTAACGGATATAGATCACGTGTCCAAATCAAGGAGGTCCTGGAATGGGCATAAATTGCCAGTGTGGTTGCATGATATTGTACCCTCGTAAAAAAATATATAACGATCCAATCGATTGCTCAAGTTTTGAAATGTGAAAACAATGGTATTCCAATTGACAGCTTGACATCTCTTTCTATGGTTAAACTGGTCAGCATGATATTAGTGGAAAGTGTAGCGGCCTTTTTATAATTTTTTTCTTCTTCTTTTTCACTGTTTAATTCTCACGTTATTCTTGGACTTGATAGCACAGGAGACAGACATAGAACTGCTCTAAACATTGTCAGTTCGAATCTATGAGTACCCAAATGTTGTCTACGTAGCGTTATGTCTCTTGCTTATAACTGGAATAATCGTGTGCGATTCGAATGCCCCTGTAAGTACTCATGCGGTGCCTTAAGGAGGCTCGACCAATCAGAGCGCGTGCATCTCCATTGGGAGACTCTTTCTTGTTTCTCAAAATTCCATGAAGACTTTGACTATACAGAAATTGACTGTATGGTCAGAATTGAAATATGTTTGAGTAACGACTCTAAAAGCGTTGTTTGTTTCTAACAACAGAGGGAAGCGTTGTTCGTTTCTATAACAACAAATGCACGGATGCAGCGTAACATACAAGTAAAGTTCTGTTGTGTCTATTTGTGACTTTCTTAACAATGAAAGATGAAAACACCAGGTAATCAAATGTCGATTGTCGCGTTCGTCAAGTCGGTAAAAGGTAAAGCGAGTAACATACAAATAAAATTAACTTGTTGCCTTGCGTAAGGTAAGTGCGATATTTTTAAGATAACAGTCTATTGTTTGTGACTTTTTTCACAGTATTAGTCTGATAGCATCATTTCCCTTAGGACCAAAAAAGGCAAAAATTATGTAGTTGTGCTCTGTTTCCTCCGGCGGTCACATAGATATTTTGATCCGAAGTATATATGAAGAGGGTAAATCTAGCTACAATACGAATACGATCTGATCCAAATGAGCATTTATCCTTGCATTGAGTGTGATGATGAAGTTAGACCACGTCAACAAGCCCTACAGTGCGACGATTAGGGTCGATCATATGGCCTTTCTGACCTTATGATCGATTTCTGTGTAGTCAAAGTATTCATGGCTTTGATAGAAACCAAGAAAGAGTTTCTCAAGCTTAAGAAATGTCCGTGAGTAAGAAACGAGTACATATACAGTAGTCTGCGTTTACTGATCGTGTACCGTCCACCTTATTCTACCGAGCATAAGGATACAGTCAGTGTTTTCCTCGGGGATTTTCTGATTACCTCGAATCGTTTGTGCTTTCAAAGGAACAGATTTTAATTGCTGGTGATTTCACTATCCACGTCGATGACATCAAAAATGTTGATGCTGTAACATTCTTGGATGTTCTCGAGTCTTTTGGACTTCAGCAGCATGTGCTCGGCCATACATTAGATCTTGTAATATCCCGGTACTCTGATAACTTGCTCAAAGCTCCACCTGTGACTGATTTCTTTGTCTCAGATCATACCTCACTTATGTGCAACCTAACATCACGTATATCTTATTAAACGGCCAAAGTGATCAATTATAGAAAGCTGAGACAGATCGACATGGAGTCTTTTTAAAAAGACCTTTCCAAAACCTCACTATGTCAACGCCTTCCAGGTGGCCATTTTATAACATCGACTGAAGACTTGAACAAGTTTGTCGCTGATTACAACAGTACACTATCTAACCTGCTCAATCATCATGCTCCGCTGAAGTCTAAGACCGTTAGGAAACATCCTTCAGTGCCCTGGTATACGGCTGAAATCGGTGCAGCCAAGCGACTTCGGAGGAAAGCTGAAAGAAAGTGGAGAAGGACGGGTTTACACGAGGACTTTATTGCATTTAAATTTCAGTTGTACAATTCGGACG